CTCCTCCTCCTCCTCCTCCTTTTCCTCCTACTCCCCCCTCATCCTCTCAACCACCGTCACCAACACCAACACCACCTCCACCACGACTTTCTTCTCTTACTCCTCGTCTTCGTCCTCGTCGTTGTCGTCGTCGTCATTCTCCTCCTCACAATCAAATATATCACCACCATCACTTTTTTTATCGTCCTCACTATTACACTCGCCACCACCACTTTTTAAAATCTTCCTCACCATTACAGTCATCACCATCACCACCTTGTAATCTTCCTCCCTGCCACGATCACGGATCTCCACCATCACCTCTTCATCCTCCTCTCCTCTAAGTGCAGAAGCCGACTTTCGTCTACCACCATTTCCGCACTTAATCATGACCTCTTATGTTTATGGTCACTTGGTATCACATGACAGACACATCGTCTCACATTTAGAACAAATGACAAGCCGTTTCTACGTAAGAAAGAAGGCAATGACTTCGCAAAGGTTATGAGGCCTTATCATATTGGTAATAGTTGACCTTCTAGAAAGATATAATTTATCAGTGCAGGGTCGAATGGCTTAAAAATAGCTATGATTTATCGGTGAACGTCATCCACAGAATAAATGGCCGGCCCTATGGCTTGAGGGCTTTTTATTGCACAGAATTTTGTTGAACAAACTCAAACTTGTAACCACATTTTGCTGTGTTGTTTCACTGGCTCAAGCTGATCTGCTTTTGTACACATCTACAAACAGATCGTTAGCTGAATATTTATCCTTGAACCTTTTGAGGTGTCGTCGCTATCAATTGACACGCTTAAATGAAAATGGCGCTACCGAGTAAGCAATTGACAATATGAGCAGCTCACTGTGGCCTGTTATAGGTTTTAAACGTTCTTGTTTGCGCCTCGGGAAACGTGTTTTAGATTTCATGGGAGTAATTTCTTATTCCTTTAGATGTCAGTGTTTTACACCCCTATCGACAAGTCGTAAATTCCTTTGTTTCTATATATTAATCTTGCAGTCCTTGCTTTAGTTTATAGCAGCCGTGTGCAGCATTTTATGGTCCAACAAAATCTTAACCTCTTCTGCTCTAGAGTTTTCAGGCTAAAACCAATATCTATATATGCCCAGACTATTTTTTTCTCTTTTGACTGTCTGATGGGGTATTCGTTTCTTTTTTTATAGTAAGAGTTTACGGCACTTGCAACACAATAAGGTCATATAAGTGCCGAAGATTAGAGGTGTTACAAGAGAGTGGCAAACATAAAACAGAAAGAGGGGAGATTAGGACGATAGGTGTTTGATACGAAAGAAGGAGCAAACTACACCAGAGCACCCGCCAACCACCCCTATCCGTTTCCTTTTACTTTGATGTTGATACGAGTATC